CACACACACTTTGCTTAATCTTACGGTAAACAGCTTTCTTCCAGCCTCAGGCGCTGCCTTTCCCAAACTCACCCAGGGAAACGGAGCAGGTAACACTCAGTTGGTTTTGGCGCTCATCCATGCGATCCTCACTGTTCAAATCGAGTCTGTTGCCAAACAGCTCGTCCTAGTCTGAAACTTTGGAAATCCTCCCCCCCCCCCCCCCCCACCCCCACACACACACACACACACAAAATGCTTTAATAACATGGAGCTACATCCTAGAGCAACTCTTAGGTACGAGTATAGTATCTGAAAACAGAAAAGAAAAGCAGAAGTCGGAGGGGGGAATTTGTGAACTGGAGAGCAGAAACCAGCTCTAAATCTAAACAGACTAAACAGAGATGTGACTAATCCAGATGTGACTAAGACGACAGACAGTGTTTTACAAACTGGAACCTGATAACAGAGGTGCTGAACCAATCAGTCCGTTAGTGTTGAAAGCTTGATTTGCCTTAAATCCATGTGGATGCTGTTAATATGAAAAAGAGTGGCGTTCCCAGGCCAAAACAATATATATTAAACAAGCTGTACCTATGCCTTAACACACACACACACACACACACACACACACTTCTTTCTTAGCTGTGTGGCTAAACATGTCTGTTTTTTGTCTAACATTTGGCTGGATGGCAACGTGCCACCTCACGAGTGTTCCCGTAAACACCCGCCACCCTGGACCCTCTGTGCTGTTGTTCTTTGCCAAAATGTCAGTGGGACTGTGGTTGACCTCGAACCGCAGCGCTGCATAAACCCTAAAAAACCCAAAGCCGAGCCGAACGGAGCATCAGAAACAGGCAGCCTGCACAGAGAGCAGAATTTACAAGGGAGGTGGCAAAGTGGAGGCACAACGCTGCCAGGAGCAGCTGTTTTCCTCTGTTTGTCCACACTCCCATGGATACTGACAAAAAGGCACAGAATCAAAACAGTCGTTCTCTGAATAGCAGAGAATTACCTGGGATGAGGTTGTTACGATGGAGACCCTGAAGTGATGATTTCAGCTGGAGGAGAGTAAATAGCTGCATTGTCTTTAGGCCCTAGCCTCATAAATACCCACAGCACACGTGTGAACACTTCATTACATCAGATTATCTGCTCATTCTTTAAAGATGAGAGCATTTCTCTATTTTATTTATTTTAGGAGTACATCTGCAAGCAAGACATCAAGTCTTAAAGCAATAGTTTAAATTTTATGAAGTGGAGTCAAAGAAAAGTCATATTTGTTGTAAATAACCCACTGAATGACCTGTAAGTCTGGAGAAACAGAGCTCAGTTCTGACTGGTTTGATGAGCCAACGGTTGGTACGAACAAACTGGTGTGGATTTTTGATGTTTTAGAACAACTTTAAGTCAAAAACTTCATAATTCATGTGAATGTTTCGCGAACTGTCACATCGCTGTCGTCATATTACAGTTATTCTGGCAATTTTTAATAAAATGCCAAGAGTTTCACACCAGTTCACACGTAAACTTGTATGTGAATCAGACATTGAAAAAGCGGAACTGAAAAAAGCTTTGCAGAGAGTGGTGAAGGCTGCACAGAAGTCTGTTGGAGTCAGTCTCCCCACCATCACAGACATTTACACCTCCAGATGCAGGAAGAGGGCCACCTGCATCATGAAGGACCCCACTCACCCAGCACACGCACTTTTTGCCCCGCTCCCCTCAGGAATGAGATTGAGGAGCATTAAGTGTAGAACCACTAGACTGAGGAACAGCTTCTACCCTGAGGCTGTTAGACTCATGAATCTCTAACCAGAATAATCACTGTGAAAAATCACTGTAATGCCACTTGATTGTGCTGCTGATTATCCATGCTGCTGATTTATTTCATGCTGCTGTCTTCATTCATCCTCATCTGCTCGCACAGACTCATGTTCGTGCTGCTGTTGTTTGTTCTGTACCATTAGTGCTTAGTATATTTTTAGTTCATATCTTAGATCTTATTACTGTTTTTCTTTACAGTTTGTATTTTTGTTGGATGTAACTGGGACCCTGTGTACATAGTTTTGTTCTACCTAATGTACCACATGTGATGTGAATGACACTAAAGACATTTTGACCTTGACCTTGATCAGATGAACAAAGACCCCAATGACCCTCAGGAGGGAGGTGAGAAAAAGTGATTTGCATATGCGTTCAGCTACTTAAGTGGAGCAGCTTACTTAAGTATAAATGATAATGTTGGATTATGCACTTTTCAGTAAAAGCTCCTGAAATGAGAAGTGTTGCATTTGAACACACCAGGATTACCACTGCCTGGATGATGAACCTTCACTAGGATCTGGCTCAAATATTGGTTATACCAGAAGTGCTACAGATAGCTGCTGCTGCTAATTATACTTACAACTAGTGGTACGTAAATACCCATGTAATGTAAGAATAGACCGAGATGTAAAGGTTGATAAAATAAAGTTTGCATGATTTGCTACAAGACTTGTTTAAAGCAATCCACTTTGGTCTGTGCTGTGAGCTCGTCCATCTGGTCAGAATAAAATTCTGTTTTTTTCAAAGAGCTATCTACAACAGGTAAGATATTAACGGCTCATAACCTTTAAATCCTTTGAAAGATCTGACGTATCTGTTTACAGACGGTTTGATACAATCAGGGATTCAGGTGAACTTATCTTTAAGCATCCTACCTGACTTGTTCTGTCTGCGCAGGGACACGGGGTGAAGTGGCGATGGACGGCACTTGAGACGTGCGTGGGCGGCGTTGGAAAAAGTGCAAACAGAAGACAAAGGTGGCCTTCTTAACAACCCGGGCAGGTGAGGAATCACGTTTCCATCCAACAACTGAACACAAGATCTTTATTGTGTTTAGAGATCAAAAGCAGAGAAATCACACAAACACAAGTTTCGCTTTAGGATAACTGACAATATTTGGATAAAATGGGATTAAATTTCCTGTATTTCCTGTTCCTGATGAAAGTGGCTTATCGTGAGGGCAACGTGCCCAGCATCGCCAACACCCTGCAAAACTGTCAAGATACAGCAGGAGGTGTTTGCTTTCTAACTGTTCACACGTATATAGAGGTGTATGTCATTACAGTGTGGTTTGGGGCATCACTCAAGCTGGAATAAAATAAAAACATCTAAGGGTTTATAATCTTACACGAGCGATAATTTGAAACCATCCGACTGATATAATCTGTGTACGTTTTCTTTTGCTGTGGCAGAAAGTCCCTAACTCCCTACCACATGGATTGAGTTTCTACAGAAGGAATGCTGCTGGAAAGAGGCCTGGAAGGGGCGTGGCTTCCTGGAGAGCGCTTCGGAGGAACCCCTTCGTCATGATGCCCATATAAGGGCAGGTCAACTTCCTTCGCTGAACTGCTTACAACAAACAGGAACAGAATTCAATATTTTGTGTCATTTTCATGTCAAACAAGCAAAACATAAATTCATACATAATACATATACAAAATATAAAAATAAAGGGCTAAGAAAATATCTCTTTTTCGCTCTGACAACTCGTGACTGAATGAAAAGGAGGCTGAAAAGCGTGAATTTATTCGCTTATCCAACACATTACACAATAAATATCTACATGAAACGGCGGGTTTGTGGCTGTTTTTGTTTGTTTGTTTGTTTGTGTCAGTGCTGTGCCTCCTCGAGGCTTTCTCCTGCCTACAGGCAGATTTACAGCAGGCGCCCCTTCCCGGCATTAGCGTCACCCGAACGACGCACGAGGAGCGGCCTCAGCCAATCAGAGCGCGCCATGGCGGCTGTATAAAAGCGGATGTTATTGGCCTGAGGAACACACCTCCGCGAGCTCTGAGCGCGCAGCGCAGCCGGACGAAGACACAACTCTGAACTTGACAGGATTATTTGAACGGGATTCAGACTTTTATGCGCTGACACTGAACTCACGAGAGCTTTGCTGGACTCTCAGTTGAATTATTTTTTAATCAACATTTCTCTAAAATCGGGGACATTTTGAGCGGTGAAGCGCCTGCATGCTCTCTGAATATTGTTGATTATCCCACAGACTGATTTTCTAGAAGCAGCTGGTAAGCTTCTCCCTTTATTTCCCTACGACTTTATGTCAACAAAGATGGAACAGCCTTTTTATCATGACGACTCGTTTCTGTCGGCTTACGGCCACTCAGAAGCAGCAATGCACGACTACAAACTGCTAAAGCAGAGTATGAATATGAATTTGAACTTGACAGAGCCGTATCGCAACCTGAAATCCCAGCTGAGAGCCGAGGCGGACCCGTACCAGCAGGCGGGGGGGCCCCAGCAGCAGCAGGACGCGCAGGGCTCCCTGAAGCTCGCCTCGCCTGAGCTGGAGAGGCTCATCATCCAGAACAGCGGGGTGATCACCACCCCCACCCCGGGCCAGTACTTCTACAACCGGGGCATCACCGATGAGCAGGAGGGCTTCGCCGAGGGGTTCGTGAAGGCGCTGGACGAGCTCCACAAGATGAACCACATGCCCCCTCCGAACGTGTCCCTGGGTGCCGGCGGGGTGACGACGTGCTCGACCTCCAGCGTGTTCGGCTCCGCGCTGCAGCCGGAGGCTCCCATCTACACGACGCTGAACGCATACTGCCCCAACACCAGCATGTCCTCTTCCGCGTCCAGCTGCCCCACCGCCACCATCAGCTACCTGCCGCCCCACCACCAGCAGAGCCACACGCAGACCTCCGCGCACCACTTCCAGCCCGCCCTGGCCGGCTCCGGCATGCACCCGCAGCGGCTCGTCGCCCTGAAGGAGGAGCCCCAGATCGTGCCGGACCTCCTCAGCAGCGACGGCTCGCCTCCCATGTCCCCCATCGACCTGGAGACGCAGGAGCGGATCAAGGCGGAGCGCAAGCGGCTGCGGAACCGGCTGGCGGCCACCAAGTGCCGGAAGCGCAAGCTGGAGCGCATCGCGCGCTTGGAGGAGAAGGTGAAGGTGCTGAAGAACGACAACGCGGGGCTCTCCAACACGGCGTCGGTGCTGCGGGACCAGGTGGCGCAGCTCAAACAGAAGGTGCTGACGCACGTGAGCAGCGGCTGTCAGCTGATGCTGACCAGCAAGATGGAGGCGTTTTAGGACGCGGGGAGCACTAAGTGACTGAAGTTTAAAAAAACAAACACTGGAGGCGTGATCCGTGCGCCCAGCACTGAGCCAGGACAGCTCTGAGGACAGTTAGGGGTGGACAGACTGATGAAATGGTACTGCCGGATGCTGGTCACCGCTCAGAACCATTCCCCCCCTCCAGGGCAGCATCCAAGCTGAGGGCAGCACAGCTGGCCCCAAATGCTCCACAATGGGAATGATTTATTCTTTGTACTTCGTTTGAAACCGATAAACAAAACAGCATTTATTCTTTGTGTAAATTATTTTGTTTGCCGGGTTGATCCAGACAAGCTGTTTTAATGTTTACATTGTCCTTTTTTTTTCTTTTTTTTTTTAAATTGTGATGTGTATTTAAGTAAAGTGTCTTTAAAAAATGAAAACTTGGACTTGAGTGGGTTGTTTTTATTTCATTCGAAATATGAGAAAAATCTTTAATAAGCAGGAAAGAGTGGAAGATGTTTCTCTCAGGAAGACGCACACAGGCAGAGATTCTGGTTTCGGCGCTCTTACGCACGGCACGTAGCCTACGTTTCCTAATTACGCAAGGGGTTGTCCATATATGGGCATGTTGGCGTATATTTCGTCACAAGGGAGGATTTCTGGGAACCCCCGCCCAGGTGATACAAACCGGTTCCACCTCAGTCCCTCCTTGTATTCTACAGATAAGAGCGGAATTTCCTCGACTTGTTGCACAACTTTATGCCAAACTGTCACACAAGAGCAGGACAAAGGACACTTCTAAAGATTGAGCTCAGTGTTAAGATACCGGAAGTAGATTGACAAATCACATCCAGATGTGGTCCAAACATGTTTGCGCATCAATGCTTTACAGCAATGGTATGAAAAAACAGCAGCCATAGAAGTTAGAGATAATAAAACTTTGACCATTTTGTCACTTAAAATGTTTCCAGGGACCAAAAGGCGCAAAGAGCAGGTGCACTTTTTTAAGAGACGCAGCTTGAGATAACTGAGGATCGTGGCCTCAAGGGGGATTTCTGTCCAAATGAGTTCATTGTAAACAAAAACTTCCGACCCGAGCTGCTGAAAGTGTTTTTATTTTAGAAGTCTCAGTGAAACCACTTCAAAAGGTTCTGAGGGAAGGTTGCGGTTTTTGTGCGTCTCACCTCCAAGCCGTTTTGGGGAGGAAGAATTTTTATTTTAATTTTAAATAAGCTCTTTTCACCCGGCAAGTATTCAAATAGCCTATAGTCTAATTTCCATCAATAACAACTCTCTTTTTTTTTTTTTGTGCCGTGGACGTGGAAACAGAAGCGGGGCCTCCCACGCAAGTTTTCTTTTTCTGTCTTCTTCATATTTTTCTTGAGAAAACGTTGGTTCAAGGGGCTGTAGATGAGGAGCTGCTCTTTAATCAGCACGTTCAGATGACACAAACACACAAGGCTGCTCAAAAACACAGGGTTTTAAATATCAGCGCAGTGCGTAAAAGTCTCCATTTACGCACACTGCAGGCCTACTTAACACGCAGCCAATTCAAGCCATTCTGCCTCTCCACACGCGTCGGCCCACAGCCCACGCTGAGTGTCTGTGGGAACATCTGTGATGTGAACAGTGACGTCTGAGGAGCTCTGGGTGGGTTTGACTTTCCTCTCCTCGAGCCCCCTTCTCCTCCCACAGACACTCGGTCACGTCCCTTCTCTCCGATCTTCTGTCTTCTCGAGAACCATGAATATTCCTCCCACCTTCATTGCGGCCATCTGAGCTTCTTTGCATCATAATCTAGGTGTCTGACGGGACGTGTTTGGGAAGGGATGGGGTGTTTTTTTTATTGTTTAGAAAGTTTTAATGTGGCCTGATTGGAAGAAAGTTTGCAGCAGCCATGAAAAACAACCTGAATGCCAAATTATTCTCTCAAACCTTCATGATGAATGTGTTCCTCCTCCACTTGATCTCAGTGATAAAAAGGAGAATTTAAAACATTAAACAAGTTTAGACCTTTACTGCAGATATGAGTGTCAATCTGTAAAACTGTATTATTTATAATTGATTATATTTACTCAAAAGGAGTACTCCATTGTTTTAAAGTGTTCTAATATTTATCAGTAGTTAGTACTTTAACAGTACTTATCAGTTATCATGGAGCACAGACATGAACAGACTGAAATCTTAGTTGCTGTTTTAAATGTGCTTTATAAATATTTGACTTGACCGTATTGGATATAAGTGCCAGTTATATTGTTTTATGGACTTACAGCTATACATAAAAACACATGACACCATTTGTTTCATTTGTTGTTGCTTCTAAACTAAAGACGCATGTTACCGTGCTGAGAATAGACACATATTAATAGTGCTGAGCTGCTTAATGTATCAGTCTGCCTCTAGTCATTAGTAATCAGTCCATACAACTCCAGGTGGACTAATACATTTAGCAGCGTCAGCACCGCTGGTGTATCTATAAGTGTTGCCAGACATACAATATTTGATATTTAGGGTCTCTACAATATAAAAAAATAGGGAGCACAAGTCAGTGTATTTCTTGTGCTGGTCCTAAATAGTGAGGGTCGTGTCAGGAATGGCATCCAATGTAAAACTATTTTGCAAGAACTATAATGCAAGTTCATCAAAGTTAAATCATACCGGATCAGTTGAGGCCCGGGTTCCACCGGTGCTGTTGACAAGAAGGGTGCAGGTGGAAATTGTGCTACTTAGTGGAAGACCACGAGGAGAGAAATGTTTCAGGAGACAGAGGAAGAAGAGGAAAGTGAAGAATGTAGGACTGAGAGTGGCAACCCTAAATATAGGACAATGACAGGCAAAGGTAGAGATCTGGCCGACATGATGCAGAGAAGGAAGGTAGATGTTTTATGTGTCCAAGAGACCAAGTGGAAGGGCAGCAAGGCTCACAGTATTGGAGCAGGGTTCAAACTGTTTTACTATGGTGTGGATAGAAAGAGGAATGGAGTAGGGGTGGTCCTGAAGGAGGAGTTGGCAAATAATGTAGTAGAGGTAAAAAGAGTGTCAGATAGGGTGATGTGCCTGAAGGTAGAAGTGAAGGTCTGATGCTAAATGTTGTCAGTGGTTATGTTCCACAGGTTGGATGTGATGTGGAGGAGAAAGATAATTTTTGGAAGGATCTGGATGAAGTGACAGAGAATATTCCCAGAGAAGAGAGAGTGGGGAACGGAGCAGACCTGAATGAACATGTTGATGAAGGAAACAGAGGGGATGAGGAAGTGATGGGTAGGTTTGGTGTCCAGGAAAGAAACCAGGAAGGACAGATGGTGGAGGATTTTACCAAGAGAATGGAAATGGCTGTAGTCAACACCTATTTCTAAACGAGGGAGGATTATAGAGTAATGATGAGTGGAGGGCAGGAAGGAGTACGCAGGTCGACTACATTCTGTGTAGAAGAAGAAACCTGAGGGAGATTGGGGACTGTAAGGTTGTGACATGGAAGAGGGAGAGGGTCAGAAAGAACTCCACTGTGTCTTTGTGGATTTAGAAAGAGTATATGACAGGGAACAGGTGGAAGAGAACTTGGAGAGGTGGATATATGCATTTGAAAGAAGAGGAATGAAAGTCAGCCGTATAAGACAGAGTACATGTGTGTGAATGAGAGGGAGGCCGGTGGAATAGTGAGGCTACAAGGAGCAGAGGTCTCAAAGGTGCAGGACTTCAAGGACTTGAGGTCCACTGTCCAAGAAAAAATAAAATAGGAAGTCCAAGGAGGAGATATCTGGATGCAGTTAGAGAGGACATGGAGGCAGTTGGAGTGAAGACAGAGGATGCAGAGGACAGAGATGGAGGAGGATGACTCGCTGTGAAGACCTCTGCAGAGGGAAAAAACAAAAGAAGAAGGGTCTATACAACATAAAATAATTTTGTTTTTAAAAGCCCAAATATAAGATAGTTCTGGCATTGTTGCACACATGTAGAATAAGTCATCATTTTAATTTTCTTTAACATCTGCATATCATTAAAAAGTCTGATGACCAGCCAGACTATCTGGCAACCCTGACATAAATGCTGTATAAAAAATGCATTTGCATTGTTTGGTTGAAACTGTGTCAAATTAAACAGAGTGTATTGTTAATATTAGCTAATGTAGCTAGTTTACTATTGTTGTTGGTATAAAGTGTTGAGGTTTGCAGCTTCCTCCATGGAACAATGGGAACAAACAAAAGCTAAGGCAGCTAATTCTGTTTATTGTTCCTGGCCAGGAGATGTCAGATATTAACAAGTCTTTCCTGAGTGAGTGATGTTTAAAGACAAAGAATCAATAATTGTATCCTGATGGGTTCTTAGAGCAGATTTGTTCACTCATTGCTCCAAATCGCTGTGAAGTTTGGTTTATGTTGGCGCACATCGCCCCCTGGTGGAGAAACACCGGAAGTAAACGTGTTGATGCAAATTATTTTACAGATTTAAACACTTTTTTCATTCAACCTTTATTTATACATGTTAATCCCATTTAACACACTTTCATTTTGGTTTTTAGGTCAATTTAATTTTGACCTTTCCATCTCTAGATGCTCAGATTTAACCTGACTAAAATTTTTAAAGATTTGAACTATAATGAGGGCGATAATTTACGTTTTTATTTTGGTTTATGACAAATATTTCTTACATAACTGGCTCTAAAAACAGCAATAATTTATTGTGACTTGACTAAATAAACATTAAATGTCTAAGTTAATTTGTCATAAGTTGATAAAATGATAGATGTGTCAAGACTGTTAAAAAATTGTGGGAAAATAAAATTGTATCAGATGAATAATGTTAAATTATTATTTTTATATATGAATGTTTCTGTTCAGTGCCCTGAGACGACTTCTGTTGTGACTTGGCGCTATAGAAATCAACTGAACTGAATTGAATATCTATATATTTTTTATTTTAAGTGGTATTTTCTGGATTACACTCAAAAAGTTGGTTAAAAAAAATCAATTTTTTTGTCAAATTATTAGCTTTTTGTTTGTAAATAATAATAATAAAAAATCCTTAAAACGCATGTTTCTATTATTTCGTGCGTTTTGTGACCTCTGTAACCTGCACAGGTCAAACTTCAACAATCATCTGACATTTAAATGAACATGTCAGTCAATATTCAGTTGTTGCATGGATGCACCTGCAGCTCGACTTCCTGCTCACATGAGCACCTGGTAAAAGTTGAAGCAGCAACTCGTGCTGCAGGTGGAGCACATGAAATAAAACTGCCAACCTGCATGTTTAAATAGCTTCTGCGTGTTTTTTCATGCATGTGTACATAAATTAA